CGAGGGCCCTGCCGGGCTGGGGCGGAAAACCCGCTTGGCAAGGGGCCAGGGAAGCCTGCGGGCGGAGGACCAAGTGTGCTGGGAGGCAGAGATTCGGCCGAGGCCGTCAGACGGAGAGACAGCTGGCCTGTGGCTGCCCAGCTCCCTTTTCCTGCCACCGCACAGGCTCCGCTCAGGTGTCCGGCTGGGGCTCCGCGCGCCTCTGCGGCTGTCCGAGCTGCTGCGCCTGAGCCTCCGGTGCTGCTGCTGCCGTTGCAAAGCACCGCTGCGGCTCTTCCTTTTTGCCTTTCCCTTCCCGAGGCAACGCGGGACTGGAGCCGTGTGGAGCCGCGCCGGCGGTAGCAACTCGACTCGGGGCCTCCGAGAGGAGGGGAAGGAGGAGAAGAAGGGGAGGGAAAGCCGGGGGTCGATTCCCAAAAAATCGGAATTCCGATTTTAATCGGAAGAATATCATGTCTGGATAGAGCGGAAAAGCATTAAAAGGTAGTCCCGGACTTACAACCTTTCTGTCAACTCATAAAATATTTCTATGGTCTTTTTGGAGTTGCCAACAGAAAGGGAGGGGGGAGCAGTGCGGCAGCTTGCAAACCGAAAGTGCATTCCATCAATGTTTCCAAAGATAGTAACTAGGTGACTGAAGTTTCTGCCATGCAAAATTCTAACCGGAGAGAGAGCCTGATTGATGACTCTGGGCTATGGATGTGTCCCATTGGAGGATATGAATTATGATACATCCGGGGGTAGAGGGAAAACCAGGGTCAAGGGTGACAATGAATGATGCGTCTCGGAGTCGGCTACACCCAGGCAGTGCCGGACATGTTTACTTCCAATAAATCATTTTTAAGTTTTGGAAGTTTGGCTCAAGACAAGATTTAAATGGGAGTCCCTGCCAGAATCCTGACAGGAAGCGTGTCCTTCCCAATCCACGTATCCTGGTTAATGAATCAACCCATTTTTGGAATTTGGCCATTGCATCAGGGGCGGGGGTTCAAAAATCCCAGCAACCGGTTCGCTACCCAGTTGCTGGATGAACGTGGCCATGGTGGACTTGGCCTACCGGAACTCCGGAAACAGGCCTGTTTCTGGCTTCCAGTGGGCCTTCAGAGCCCGCGGCGCGGAAGGCCGTTTTCGACCTGCCAGAGGCCCGGGGTAGGCCTTCGGACCCTCATTTTATGCCTTCCTAAGGGTCTGGAGGCCTCCCCCGAGCTTCTGGGAGGTCGAAAATGGCCTCCCCCGGGCTCTGGAGGCCAACTGGAAACCGGCCCGTTTTGCAACTTCCGGTTTATCCACGAGGGCTGTTTTTCCCCCTCCCAGAGCCTCCGCGCAGACCCTGCACTTACCTGCATGGAAAAAATGGGCTGTGTGGAGGAGACTCCTGGCAGGGGTGGGTGTGGCCAGCCGGTCAGTTGAAATACTGGTTCCGCGAACCAGACGGAAACTTAACACCCAGTTCACTCAAACCGGTCCGAACCGGTCGAATTCCCACCCTCTGCATTGCATTTCAATCATAGCCCAGCCAAACAGGGTTTGGTTTGCACGAGAGGGTTTGGGTTAGGGGTTAGGGTGATTGTTTCAATCCTGTGACCGTAATTGCAATGGTCGTTAAGTGTGAAAAAGGTCATTCAGTTGCTTTCTTTGGTGCCGCTGGGACTTTTGAACCGTCCTTAAAAT